CTAAAAAACAAATGATTTAAGTTTATCAGAGTGTTCAATAAATTAATAATATATTATCTATTAAAAATATCACTATAAATTAATCATATTAATAAAAAAATTAATTTAAATATATATAAATAATAACAGTCAACTTTAGGTATAAATAAAAAAATATATATCAAACTATTATTATTGAACATTTATCTTTATTACTAACACTACTATCACGTTACGAACTATTTTTAAACAAATAAAAAATACTAATGGCAACGAAGAATTTCAAATTTACATTACATATATAATAGTTTAAATTGTATAACACAAAATAAATTATATGTAATTCTTGAACGAAAGAAAGTGTACAAAATGCAACTCGTCGTTCCGACTTGTTTTATCAAGGCCGGTTCGACTGATACAATTTAATGCGGTTGACAACACAGAGACCACGGGTGTTGTGTGGTGGCGATGAAAGGTCACAAGTGGAAGGGATATTACAATAATACAATATAAATGTGACTGAAGTATTTACTTTTTATTTTGTTATTTATTGTTGACAAGGTTCATTATTATTACTATTATTAATTATAGATTAACTCTTGGGTTGAAGTAATGTGTTGCGGAGGCAAAACGTACAGTAATCTATGCAGCTTGATTGTTGAATATGAATGTCGAATGGCGCGAAGTTTCGTTCGTCCACATTAGCGCTGTTTGAATGAGCACGTGCGTAGTTGAGGTTATGAATGCAGCGTAACGACTGAATGTTACCGCAGAGTGGCGCGAAACTTGATTCGTCGACACTTCCGCTGTGTGTTGCTTAATTTCATAAGCTTCCGAGCTTGAACTAAGGTGAGGGTTACCGAAAGAGACGCCCTTTTTGCAGGTGCGAACTTGACGACGCGTACTGGAATTTATTCCGCACTGTCGTTCTAAGAAGAGCTTCTTCGCCCTTAGTTACTTGTCGATGTAATACTCTGAATCTCAATATATATGTGTAATTATTGTGTTAATAATACTACTTACGAAGACTAATCGTTGACTCGCTCCGGACTCTGATGTGCGGATTGTCGTCGCTCCCTTTGAACATGTAACAACGGTTTCTTGAACTGCGTTAGTGGACATACGATGTATGTCGTCGTTCCTCCAGGACTTGTAACTACTGTTCCAGTAAGTGTTAATGGACTTTCACTAAACTTAACTAAGTATGAAATATCTCAAGGGTATATGTCTGAGATCAGACTAAAAACGCTTCCCTGAGATAGTGAAGGGAGGCTTGCTGGCAAGTGGAATGGACAATGCAATAATTCAATACTGCCTTTATATGAGTTGATTTTCCCTTTTATTGAATATAATAAATAATGAATAGTTAATAATTTATGAATATCGAATGAGTGTATGATAGAATAAATAGGTGAGAGTTTCTTCAGGTAATGTGAGTGATGATAGTCTTATAAGTGTATTCTTGTGGTATGGCGCGTGATTGACGCCACCGATTTCCGCTACCGATACACTGGAGAGACCTGGGTGGTCACGTTGGTATGTAATGTCACTGCTGAGAAGAATTGATGCCATCGTTGCCGCTATCGATGAGCTGGAGAGGCTTGAGTGGGGCGCTGGTGTATGACGTCACTGCTGAGAAGAATTGATGCCGCCGTTGCCGCTACCGATGAGCTGGAGAGGCGTGTGTGGAGCGTTGGTGTATGACGTCACAGATGAATGGCAATGATGCCGTGGTTTTGGTATTGCTGCTTACTTAGTTCACGGAGTCGTGTGTTAGTGATTCGTAAGAACGTGTGTAATAGCGTAGCTTAGGTGTGTGGAGTCGATTTCAGTTGTATTGATGGTACGTAAGGACGTGTGTGGAATCGATTTCCGATGTATTGATGGTACGTAAGGATGTGTGTAATAGCGTAGCTTATGTGTGTGGAGTCAATTTCAGTTGTATTGATGGTACGTAAGGACGTGTGTAATAGCGTAGCTTACGTGTGTGGAGATAGATCGTTGTGTATTGGATGTGACCTCTATATAAGTGGTATTCGACTTGTAAGAAAGCGATTTGTGTGAGTTGAAGGCGATCTCTGTGTAATGGCGTTGACTTGTAGAACAATAATTTGATCTTGATGATTGCTTGATTGAACTAGTAAGAGGATGAGACCGTCATGTGCAGCTACGTCCGATATTTATCGTGACGTAAAGAGGGCATAGCCTCGTAGAGTTCATTTGTTATTACTTTTGGAATTATAGTAGTATATTCGAGTTTTTCTGTTATAGCATTCTTTGAATTCGTTAGTCAGTTTTTACAAAACAAATGCTCGCGCGCTCATACCTCTCCCACTTTTTATTTTGCTTAGAAACTACTGCAACCCGTAACAGTATACTATATTGAGGGAGTACTACTAAAGAGAAATATCAAGAGTATACTAAGAAGGAAATATCAAGAGTGATGAGTATTGAAAATTGCGCCCCTTAAATACATTTGCTGACCATGAATTTGACTTGAACCCCTTCCCTTATTTTTCGTCCAATCAGAGACTCCTCCTTTATAGTGCGAGGGCAGCGCCTCTTGTGGCTTCGGAGTTAATTAAGGGCCTAGTTGTCTCTTGATACAAGAAGACCTCTCGTTGCTGCTGCCGCATGCGACAGCATGTTGGCAGCGGAAAGGGGGGGCATCGTTGACGCCTCTGGTGACAACATTACAACTTGTCGACAGCAGGAAGGGGAAGGAAGGTCCGCTTGCAGTAATGCTTGAAGTAGTTACCGAGCGGATGAAAATGCAGATGTCTAACTATGGGTTTCCCGTGTTTATAGTATTGTTTTTCTAGATGTTTTATGACACTAGTGCTTGATAATTTCGAGCAAGAAAAATTTGATATCTAAATACAAACTTTTCGATGTTACTTGCCAGATGTTTTATTGCATTGATAAAAAAGGAAAAGGTCTCGCATTCTCGAACAGAAAGCATTCATAAACATTTAATTTTTATTTCACTTTCCCTTACCACCATTTTGAAAAATTCTGACTACAATTTTGATTTCAATATTAATAATGTTTGATTACAAAACTGTATATGTATCTAAAAATGTTTCATACATACATTACAGTTAATATTTCTTACAGAATGGATACTACGATATGAATATGTTTACAAGTGTGTTAAAAATATCCATTATATGTGAGAAATTAATATATAAAATATATGTATATAAAAAAAATTTATTACTAGTATTATTGTTTGGAATTCTAGCCACCAGAATGGTCCGAAGACCAAGGTGGTTGGATTAGACCGTACCGTCGGTTTACTGGTGGAGAAAGGGGGGTGTTTAATGTACTAGCGAAATGTAACAGTAATTATAGTATGAATGTGGCTACCAGAGAGAATCGGCACCCTCTTCAGCGGTCTGACAATATTCAAATAGCAGAGGCTTTACCGATAATGGTGGCGCTGAACCGTAATAACAATAAACGATGATAAATAGCTTGCTGGTGATGGCAGACGATGTCGTCGCCTTCAATGCGATCTGACTTGAGTCAAGTTGCGGAGGGCGCGCCGAAAGCTGGCCAACAAAATATAATAAATAATGTAGGCAAATAATTATACCTTGCAGATTCACGTAGACAGACATATAGAACTTTAACTGTTATGATTTGCACTATTTTCACTTTGACTTACTCAACATGACTGATTTTCTTCGTTGTCTGTTGCTCTTTATATATGATTTCGTATATTTAAAGTTTGTAATTCTTGGAGATTCTGTCAAATTCTTGAAAAGCAAGGTTTAGTACGTTTGAGAATCTTCGTTTGTCACTATGCGGATACGGTATAAGGCTTCAAATACATCGAGTATTTTCGTAACGACTACTTCAAATATCACGCATTATAATAAATTAAAATGTAATGGAATCATAGATTAAAAAAAAACAATAAATTCTCATTGTTGGATAATTCAATCCTAAACAATTATAATTAAGAATTAAGAGCTTATTTATCTTAGAATATTAAAAAACAAAACCAAAATTTTTGCATATGTTTTAAATAAAAGATGTATAAAAAGGATATACGTATATTTAACCTTACTTTAAATATAGTGGAATTGCCTAATATATAATAAAGAATCAATTAATACATCTTAGCTTATTCTTTTAATGCTTGAGATTCGAGGCCATTAATAATTATTTTATACAATAAAGTATTGAAAAAATCTATAACTAATATTGTAACTTATAAATAACTTATAATACTATTACAGTTACAAATATACCATAAACTTACCAGCTACATAATACATGTATAAATAAAATATATAAATATTATTAAATGTAATTTAGGTTTGCATAATTATGTGATAATATAATTTTGAAAATTTATTAAATAAAACTGACTGATATGTATTATTGCAACAGGTTTATTTTGTCATTCGTAAGAAATACGATATATTACTCCGTTATTCAAATATTTTAATAATATAATTAGTAAATATTACATCAATAGTAAAAAAAAAAATGAATCGAAAATGAATGAATTTTTTTTTATCTACGATGAGTGAACGACATTTTTACTTTAAATGTTGGTCATTATTTTTAAATATTTGGAATATTTCATTTATTAAAGTAATACAAATATTTAAATTCTCATAAAAATACATACATTATGGAATAAACTAAGGAAAATATTCAATGCCACCTATCGATGCTGAATAACTTTTAAAGTTGTTTTTTGGCAGAGTTCATGCACATTACTTTTAATCGATATAACAAATACAATTTAAAACTTTTTTATTTATATATTAAATATATATAAATATAATTATATACGCATTTTCCTTTTCAATTTCAATAATTCTGTAAACTTAAATAAAATGTTAAAAAATTTCAATGTTATATGATTTTAAGTTCAACCATAAATTAATATTTGAAAATAGAGTAAAACTTATTTTTAACAGTTAGAATACTATATTTTTTCAATCTTTTACTAACTATCTTATTTTATAGAATCTATTAATAAGGTTTGTATATATCTAAATTTGTTATGTAATTACAGAGAGTGATTTAAATTATCTATTTTTAATCAGAAATCTAAAAATATTAATTCTTTTTGTTAGACCAAATTTTTAATTCTTTATTGTAAATTTTATATATTAACTTCGAACATATCTTGTTCCATAGGTTTTTTTACCCAAGCACCTAGTTGAGCTCTGATAAACGCATCTTTTAGTTGACGTTTAGCTAACTGAAACAAATATTAAAAATAAATGCATATGATAAATTGGGAATACAATAAATACTTATATAAATTATTTATTTTTCAATTATCTATTTCAATTATTAAAAACATCCATTTATTTTTAGTTATAAAGTTTATGTTTCATCATTATGACGATTGTTTGCGTCATTATTTTCCTTAAATTATTTATATAATTTGTTCGTATAATTTTATATAATTTTATGTACATACTAATTAAAACTATTATTTGAAATTGATATTCATTACCATCCTTACATGGTATAGCAGTGTATTTTTTAATTCACTGACAGCATTTTGTATTACTTTTATAGTTTCCTTGATTCAATCACTGGTTTTTTGTATTACACTAAAATTTACTATTTTTATCCGCTGTTTGTATACAAAGTTCGAAGATATGGGTATTTGCATTACCTTTGTGATTTATATGAGTATTTTATTGATTCTTATGTAATTATATATTCATTACTAAATAAAGTTTTACTTTACTAGTTTTTAAATAAAATTTTATTAATTATTTAATTTTTTATTGAACATACCAATTATATAAACAAAGTGTAAACAAAGTGCTATTATTCTTATGAAAAATTAAAGACTTCTGTACGAGATTACATTCAATGCTCCTTTTATGTTCTTTTAGTTTTTTCAAATATGACATTGATAAGTATGCAAAGAAACTGAGTTCTCATATTGACATAATTAATATAATAGATAGAATTTTTGTCCAATATCATAGTATTAATAGTCTAATATTAGTCTCATTAAATTCAAATTTCGGAATTTTTGATTGTGATTTTTCATTAATAACAATTTATGCAATTCCTTTACAATTACAATTTTCAATTCACAGTAACGTTAGTAGTAGTTTTATGGATGTCTTCAAAATCTGAAATATGACTAGTTATCTTACATTTATTAAAATGAACATCGAATAAATCATTAGTGTCGTGAAGGTTCGATGAAACAACGTTTGATTCGTTAACTCTGATATATAACCTTTACACTACGTGGTTAAATTTTTCAAATCAACTTCTCATCGTGATAGATTGAGCCAATTTACACTTTACTAATTGTATGATAGTTTTTCCAATTTCTGCACTAATTTCATGCAAATGATAAATTATTCATGCTCCAGAAAAACCAATATATTTACCTTGTTCTTTTTATTGAGTTAATAGGCGTAAATAAAATTTTCATCTATAGGTATTAAACATTTCTGAACTGGTAAGAATGTACATCATCAAAAATAATTAAAAAATATAATATTTAAAATAATGACTTCGTCAAAAATTCTATGAATCTTATGCATTCGTCGGAAATAGTTTATTAAGTTATATACAATTTAAATTAGATTTTTTATTTGTTAAAAATTTATACACATAAAATAATTGCAATAATTAATTTATTTTTTATTATTAATATATTTTAATTTGTCATCACAATTTAATTGATTCAATTAATCTATATTATGATAGGCTGATTAGTATCGTTCTCCATAAATGAAAAATTATTTATCATTACTATATTAATACAAAATAAATATGTTATTCTCAATTTATAAAAATGCTAGAATTTATATTTTACTATAAATTATTCACTAATAAACTAATGAAATTCAATATAAACATTTTAATGATAAAATCGTATATATATATATTAATATATAATAAAACGAATTTTACAGAAATGACTTTATGTTCCAAAATGTATTTTGATAATTTCATACACGCACGGTATGTATGCAGCTCGACGAAACAGTCAAGAGAATTTTCAAAAAACTTAGATATTATACCTTCTGATTATAATTATCATAATGTTTGTAGGTTTTATCGTATTTTATGGCAAAAAATTGTTAAATTACTTGAAATTCTCACTGTTTATAAATGTAATAAACTTACCATATTTATGTATAATATTTTAAATGTTATGTGGATATTAAAAGTACTTATATGAATATTCTATATTGAATTTTTAGATACTTAAAATACTCGATTCGTGTAAACCTATATAAAATAAATTTCAATATCAATTTATTCTATGTTTATATTGTTTATTATTATTATTTATATTTATTCTTATTGCATTCTATGTGAGCATGTGAAGTTTCATCTTTTTTAATATAATAATACATTTTAGAAGGCCAGTGTATAATTTAATTAATTTCCATATAAATATATTATTTATTATCAAAGAAATGTACATTACTTAAGATTGAATTAGTAATCGTTAATATCGTTTATAAATTAGGAAACAATGAATAATGTAAAATACAAAATTCAAAAAAGTATTGTAATAAGTATCCGGTTGCAGGAAGAAAACTCACGTGGTAGCGTTTAAAATGATTGAAGAATGAATAACAAAAAATTCTATTTTATATATTAAATTCTGGCTATGAAGTATGATTTCAAGTTCATAACACCATAATAAATATCACATTTTATCGACAGAGCGCTTATTTTTAATTATTTTTAGATCTATCTGTTTTATTATATATATAATTAATTTCTATTCTATACATAAACCGATTACAGACATATCAAACGTCTAAAAAAATCCTTAAGGACAATTAATTTGAAATTACTCTAAATAAATTTTTTTATAAAATTTTTCATAAAAGGTGAAATAAAACTATAACAAATATAAATAATAATTGTTATGCATTTCTTTTACAGGATAATTTCTATTAGTAAATTACAGTTTAAGGAGTTGTTAATGCATATTATTTTTCTTAAATGTACACACATATAAATAACTATATTACATTAAATTAATTCTATATAAAAATAGTAAACCTATCCTATAAAATCGGAAATAAAATTATATTAAATGAGTGACCATATTGATAGTTAAGGGCAATTAGAGATTGCACATTAAGAGCAAGGGTGAAGCACACACATTTCAGTACCTAGCATTATACAACTATATACTATATGCCAATACAAATATTAAAATATTCTAACATACAGCCTAATATATTTACAAAATACCTTATATTAATTTAAAAAATTAATGATGAAATGGTTTTACTTAAACAGATAATTTTAATTATATTCAGGATTGAAGCAATTTCCAAGACCGCTCTCTGAATTGTTGATCCCTCTAGCTCTCGAATTTCTGTAAATATTTTTATATTCTCGAACATTCGCAAGTTAGTCTATTCTTTGCATATGTATCCATTGTTGTTATCTACTGAAACGGTCGCGTGAATATATAAGGCAAGCACGTGACACACTTCCGCTTCGCGTGCGTATTCAACGGGCTACTATCATCTGAACCACCAGAGTACATTTATGAATTTTACAAGCATTCGACAACCACACTTGCACGGAGAAGGTGCTGGAGGAGCATCGCAGCACCCTCCACTTCTACAAATTAAGCGAATATCACGCATCTTGATCGAACACATTCTTCGTTTCCAACCTTGACCAGTAAGTCCAACGAACAGACAAGGCATAACAAGTAATCACTAACGCGATCACCACACACGCAACCCTGCTTAGCGGTGCTACCACACACAATTTCCGTACCATACGCAACTCTGTTTACGGTGCCCCCCCGCACTCTTACACTTGACAAGACATCACAAGTAGCACTACACCAAAAGATAAAGAGATTTACGACCTCTCACTTCTCAGTGTAGTAACCCACTACCAATCGCACTATGCCAAGAGGATCCGGAGATTTACGATGACCTACCCCCACATATAGTGCACGCTGACACAGGGTGGTATAAACCAAGAAACGACAAGATCCCAATGATTCTCATTATCAACGTAGAATCATTATATTGTAGTTGTAAAATAAACGAAATACCAAGCAGGAAAAGCAGATGTGTTAAATACTTCATTGAAGAGCTACTCATTCCACTTGTCAAGAAACTGATGACCATAGTCTAATTCTAAACAGTCTCCTATCAAAGCAAGTAACACGGTAATAAATTAATACGTATACTGAAAGAGAGCATTATACCAATCACTTTTTAAAGAAAAATTTATAAAAAATTTAATTAGAAATATTATAAATAATCAATTTTTGAAAAGACAATAAAAAATAATTCAATCATTTACTGTTTGTAGGTGTTGGTTTTACAAATATTTAATTTTATATTTAAAATAAACGTAAGTTTTTAAAATAAGTCGACAAGGGTTTATTTCTTTTAAGAGTATTTTTTTTTAAATATATTTTTCATATAGTTAATTATAAATAAAAAGTGAGTGCCGAGTCTGCATATTTTTAAAGTACATTAGTTCATAACAAAGAGGAAAATGCTCAATATCTTTGTCCAGAATTAGACTAAACTTCCAGATGTTCGTAAATTGAAGGGTTAGCGCATTTGTTTAATAATTAAATACATTTGCTTATCGTGCTGTTTATTGACTTTTATTTTACAGACTACACAATAATGATGATTCTGAAATGGTGGTGAGAATCAGTGAGATCTAGCAGTAGTGTTAGATGCCACGTGGTGTTAGCATGCACTACGTATCGAGGTAGGAGGTCGTAAATCTCCGGACCTCTTGATATAATGTGCTTGGTGGTAAATAGTTACATTAAAAATAGGAGGTCGTAAATCTAGTACTTTTACGTATAATGCCCCACGTGATGGTAACGTATTGAGAAATGGTCTTTTTTTACTTGGTGCTTTTCGCGCACTTCAAGCCGTTTGCGGGGTTTTGCGATACAATTATTTATTCACAGAAATTCATTTGTCTTACTGGATCCTGTGATGAGTGCGTAGATATTGCACTTCTTATGTCATGTTCGTTCTTGGATAATGGCTTTACTGTATTGGCTTGCTAGTTTATCGCTGCAGAGTCTGCCTGAATTATGTACGTATAATGAGTAAAGCTGACAGACTGGTATATGGCGGAGTTTCGCGGCTGTATAGAGTAATAACTGATAGCCCCTAAACGTAGTGAGCTAATCTTAAATATCCGCATGGCAGCTTACTTAGTTGGCAACAATGCATAGGTGTGTTGCTAAGCCGAAGGTCTGGTAACCTAGAAGACTGACGCTCTAGAAATTTAAGGATTCCAGAAATATAAACTTTGGAAGGATTGAAAATTTACAATTGAAGTTGCCATGCTGAAATATTGTAGAACACACAAATTAAGGCGTAGAGTATTCGAGAGTTTACAAATATAAGTCAGACGGCTTGTACCTTTCCCATTTTAAAGCTCTTGGAAATTGCTCCAATCCCAAACAATCTTATTAAGTGTTAATAAAAATAAAATTTCTACAATTTTAAATTATATGTAATAGACCCCATATTTTTAAAAAATTCATATATATGTGAAAGAATGGGGATTAGAGTGCAATATATGAGAAATCATCTAAGATCAATATTAAAGTTGCAATAATTGTATTAATGAGTACAATAATAGTTATCTATCTTAAATATTTACCGATTAAGAATCATTTTATTAATCAATGCATTCTAATTTACAATACTGGAAACCTAATTTATTGTATCATGCAAAAATTACATAAAAAAGGTAAATTTCAATCAAAATGAAACTGAAATTATAAATATTACTATAAAATATACGTTCTTATACTCTATTATTTATGCAATGCTTCCAAGCATTCATTATCTTATAAACATATTAAAATTTAATAAATTTTTTGTGTTTAATTTTAATAATAAAGGTATATTTTATTTTTAACATCTCATATTTTTTTAATTTTTATGCTGGACAAATTTTTACATTGTTCTAAGTACCTAAAATCTTTGTAAACTAATAACTTATTATTTATTTAAAAAAAAATTATTTTTTTGTATATCAAAACTAAAATAATCTCGTTTTGACAATTAATCGACAATAAATTGAAAAATTTCTTACCGAATAGTTGTGCACAGAAGCCTTAGCATCTAAATAATTACGACATATTAATTTGTCAGTGTCATCAATGGTATTAAGTTTTCCTAAAAGATTGTAGAACTTTCCAAACAGACCTTGTTTTGAAATCCTGGATGGTTTTCCTAACTCATCTTTACCAGTAGTACAATTTATTACTTCAGCTTCTAATTGACCTTTAAATATCCAAGTTAATTAAAAAATCTTATCAATAATCTATTAAAAGTACAACAATTAGATAAAAACACAATTTTTATTTCTACAATAAATACGTAGGCACTGCAAAACAATATTAATTTTTATTCTAAATACTATAAAATACATTTAAATAAATAACATATTATTATAAAAAGATTTATATAGCGATGAAATAAACATTTTGTTATCGTACACTGATGAAAACAAAGAAAAAAATAAGGGATACATGTTACCCAGATGACCTATTTGAAGTGGTAAACTTTGAGATACTTGATGACACTGCAATGATTCTTCGGATTACCAAAGTGTAATGCCCCTTTGTTTAAGTAATAGATTAATTCAAAAGATAAAGAAATAGATTATTTATTATAAAACATCTTAACATATCCTTCTGAATAAAAAACTCTTATTCGTTCAGTTTTTAAATTTTAGTTGAAGATTAGTTCTCACTATTAAAAGAAATAAATAAACATATTTTAAATAAATATTAATATTATTAGCTTTATTATTTCTAGTAGTATAAGTGGAGTTTATTTTAGACAAAAGATTAAACAGTACTATTTAATGCCAGTCAAAATTAGTATATAGAATAGTAAATAAAGTTAATATTAAATAAGTATTTCATTATCATCTCCATACTTTCACAATATATGTTTAAAATTACATATAGACTTATTACAAAAATGTATTTTTAATTAATTAACATTTTTCCGTATCTTAAATAAACCACTCGTTTGCTTTGTGTACTTTCCATTTTCTCAGTATCATTATGTATGAGAAGTTATAAAACATAAATAATTGAACAAATTTTTACAATTTCAAATTGTATGATTCTATAATTTTAAATTTCATCTTTTTAATTCTTTCAGTTATTTCTATAAACTAAACACTTATTATAAATTAATGTCAGCGAAGTTAATAGGCGATTAATTTACGTCTGTATTTTCAGTTGTATTAAATATTTTGATTATGAAATTTAGAATCTCTAGTGATATTAATTATGTGATATGAATAAAGTATCGGTCATTTATCCTTATTTAGAATTTAATCAATAAGTTATTGTAACCGTAAACGCTTTATTGTATTAATCTGATTTTCATTATTCCAGTCGAATCGATAAAATACTAATGTAGTGACTTAAATTTGATTTATATAAAAATAAATAGATTTAAAGTACAACGTATAATATAACAACATATTTTACAGACATAATAATTCGAAAAAGAATAACATGATTAAAAAAACATTATATAATTATAAATAATAAGAGACAATAAATATGATAAATAAGAAATATACTAAAAAGAAAAACAAAATTAAGTATTAATAGAATATTACCTAAGGAATAAATCAAAAAAGAAGGTTAGTTTACAAAAATGTATATCCAATTTTAAAAAACATGAATTTTTAATTAAAAAAATTATTATATTTTTACACTTATAACTTTAAAAACACTATATTTCTCTTATATAAAAGTGAAATAAGTTACAGAATAGTGTAGATATTAAAAATTAAAAATAGAAATAACATATATGCTTTTCTTAGAAAATGTGAGAGAGTGAAGATTAGTAAAAAACACCAATTTAGTATTATTAATATTAAATAATTAAAAAAGAATAAGGGACATGTTAAAAACTGAATGCTACAAAGAAATACAGAGCTTATGCGAGAATATAGAGAATGATAAACACAGTAAATTAAAATATAGGAATAAAAATAATTAATCCACCACAATAATTGTTAAAAATGAAAACATTTTCAAATTAAAAATGTAGGGATTAAATATAAATAAATAATACTAAAGATTCTAACAGTTTGGATTGTTGGATAAATAACTAATATTACAATTACAATAAGTAGGTGATATTATTTTTAATTTATAGAAGAATGTATTAGATAACAAATGAAAAAATTTTTGTACATATAAATAATCTAGTTTCTACTAACCGGGTTCATTTCTATTTTTATATCTCAATGTTCATCAATAGAATCTATTTTATCTTAAATTATAAACGTAAAATTGTTTGATAAGAATATAATTAATGTATCCATATTTATTTACTAATGTTTACAAGTATATGTTGACAATGTATCTAGATGTTATACTTATGCTCCACTTTATGATTTAAATTATATAAAATTCAAATAGTCAAAGACTGGGTTGTGACAGAAAAATGCAAAATTTTTGTCAGCTCCAGATTATTAGAAAGAGCTAGTTACAATGTTTTGTGAATAATATAAAATTTTATTTTTAACTGATAAGTTGATATAAAATTTTGTATAATTAATGTAACATATATTGCGTTTAAATTAGACGTAATGTTTAAACTATAAATAGTGATACTAATGTACGTAAAGATTTTTATATAAAAAACTGATGTTTAGTATTTATATGTTATGTTCTTAGCTAAGTTATTCGATAGTTCATTTTTAATTTGCTGCCCGCCCTACGGATGCATGGATGACTTAAGTGGATAGGCTGTAGAAATATACAGTGTGTGCAGACTTCGTTAAATATGGTTTATTCATAATTACATTATATTGATGAGTTAGTTTTACTTCTCATAGGAGAGTGTAAGCTATGTTCAACCACAACGATACTGTTGCATTGAACTGTTCCTGTGGTGCATAGTTCAATCATAACGATGCAGTTACTCCATGTTGCTGGTGACGGAGTTGTTGCTGATCTATAAGGATCAGCAATGGATTATGCATACTCCTTGGTGAGAAGTATGGCTTCTGCTATGGTTCTTGTAGTCTATTTTCTTGAAATGGAGATGGTATTAGCATCTTTGACTGCCGTTTAAGTAAGACACTGAAGAATGATGTGTATTCCTTCTATGATGGCCTTACTAAGAGAGAGAGAGAGAGAGAGAGAGAGAGAGAGAGAGAGAGAGAGAGCTGTTCTCGAAGTGTACTTACGGTAAATATCCACGCGACAGCGTAGCTAGAGCTGGCCACAATGTATTGGTATGATTATCAGAAGACTAGATAAACGTTGTAGGGTGTTCGAGAATTATAAAGCTTTAGAAGGCTTGGAGAATTCTAAGAAACATAAGGCTTTGGAAAATTCTCGAATTCCCGAACACTCAGTAAATACAAGAAATATTTAACTAATGAACGATTAAAATAAAAATTTATTTATTTTTCAAATATTATTTTTTTCTTTTTTGATGCCTTAAGTATTTGTATGGATCAGTTCCCATAATTCCCTCTTTCCTAATATTCAGGTGTAATTATATATAAATTGTAATTATGAACAAAGGTAACGTGTAGTTAAAGCTTTTATCAATATTTCCAGTTGTTGAAAAAATACTTTCATAAAAATTCTTATTCGGAAACATGAAATACCACAATCATGTTCTCTTAGAAGAATGTTTAATATACCATTATTAATCAGAAATCATATGTTATAGTTTTTGGAGTATCAAACATATTTTAAAATACATATTTACGATTGTCAAAAATTAAATTTCAAATCTGGTGCATGATTTTGTTATACATTTCGAGTCGAAATAGGTGTCTTTCATGTAAAATGTATTCTTATAAACGAACAATGATGATATTTTCTATAATGTCGATCTCATTCTAAAAGATACAAAGTACGCCAATCGTGATTAACATCATATTAACATTTTTGTAGAAAAATCAATAAAAGTATGTATTGAAAATACAATCTCTTAAGAATTTACATTTTTATTAATATACTTGAATATTGTTTTATCATGAAATCAATAAAAAATGATGTTCATAATATTGGAATTATAATTCTTTAATTACTATTGTTCGATTATTACTATTACTTTGAGAATACGTACTGATGACTGCTTGGCTTGGCGCACTTAGTTGCTATAAGTCTTATAGCTTCATTGTTGAATTACTAACCTTTTATTGTTGATTCTGGTAGAATTATATGCTTGTGTACTGTAGGCTCATTGCAAGGCACACGATTGAGTTTCGTAGTTGTGAGCTACAACTGAAGACTGAGTAGATAGTAAAAGCACATTGAGCCCCGATGCGTGGCAAGCTGTTCTTAAATATTCGCGTAGCAGTTGCTAAGCCGAAAATGTTGATGACGTCAGAAAACTGAGCTCCAGAATATTCGAGAAATACAGCAGGACCCTCCTTGGATAGTTCAAGAATTTTCATCGACGTTGCTATGCGGAAATATTGTAGGACATTTGAAATTAAGGCGTAGACAATTTACGAATTCGCAGAATCAATGTTTACAAACATGAGCGTCCGAGAGCTTGTACTTTTCCCAAATTTGTTGAGAAACAAATATTTTATTCTATATATTGATGGTTACTGTTATAAATGATGTATTACTGTGTACTTTATGTAACATAGTGTAATCATTACAATTCATACACTTGTATTAAAAAATAACAAGAAATATTATCACGTGTTCTTACGGTATCTGTATGATTAGTATATTTTAAAAACGTATATAATTTCAAATTATAATAGTTTAAAACTATGTAAAGTAAAATCCTTCCAGAAATTCATCATCAGGTTAAAATTCAATTAAAAGCATAATTGTCAGTTATGCATCAAATATCCTCCAACTATTTTTTTCCGTGAAAAAAAAAATTTGATGTTTTTTAATATTTATTTATAGAAATTGAATTAGTCAAATTTAAAGAGTGCCCAAAAATTTGAACCATTTTTAATGTATTTAAATTTGATCTACAAGAAACGACGTCATATTTTAGGGTTTTATATTAGACAGACAGTCTATCGTAACTATATAATTAAATTGATAAAAACAACCAATTTTACTACAAAAAGGGCAGCCTAATCAGTTATTTCATTTGTAATATAATATTCTCTGTAATAGCATTATCGCTAATTTTTGTTTACTTTTTAGTTAATTATTATTATGAACATTATTACTTCTAAATAATCGTTCTTTGTATAATATCATTATTTTACATTAATCTTGAGTTTGAAGAATATAATTTTTAGACATTTTTCTTTGTCTTAAATGGAGCTAAGAAGCAACTAATACAAACTATTTAAAAAGCATAAGTTCGTCCCTATACTATCTTATATTAATTTCGACATAAATAATATAATTATATACGTTTAATAAAATATTAATAACAAATGATGCCTCGATATTTGATAAATAAAAATTCAAGTCAAATTATAGCATACTTATAATATAAAATAATTTAAGCAAAACATGAAATATAATGAAAAATTAAGAATATTGGATTTAATGCTAATACTAAATTATCATACTTATGATTTAATTTTATAATTTTATAATTTTATAGGTAGGATTTTATGGAATGTTTCGAAAACAGTAAATACATTATTTTTTTTCAGTTTTTATCTTGTTTTAATTAGTTTTTACTTAAGCATTCACTATATTTGAAGTTATAAAGTACATTAAATCTAACACCAGACATTGAATACTATATATTATGGTTAATAAAGATATTTAAATACGAAGTAAACAAATATTAAAATACAGATAGAATAATTTATCTAAAATTAAACTATTACGATTAAGAACTGAAAATTACTGAGCAACCTTTTCATTTTATGAATTTAATTCTTAAAACATATTTATAATATTATGATGAAAATTTAGTAATATTAATGTAGAAAATCATAAAAAATTAGAATATTGTAGTTGTAGATCAACAGTTTTTTTTATTATAATACATTTTTATATTTACGCAATACTGAAATATCTAAAATTCTATTAATAAGACTTTCGAAAAATTAAATTAAAAATAAACTAACCAATCGTCCAATTGACACTGTAGTTTGGTGCTTTTCCAGGTTGTCTAACCTCAGATGATGTAATTAAACTCATAAGAGGCTTATTAAGTTTATATGGAGGAGGTAAGCCTTGTATAGTATTTTCTATACGTCCACAGACCGCTCTATACATATGACTTGGATTTAATAAGCTTCCAAGAACAATGCTATGAATATAGATAGGTTCGATAAAATGACTAAGTAATGCACCTTGAATGCCTAAGACATTCCATCGTGCAATTTTATCTGAACATGACATTGTTAATAGTCTCTGTCCCTGTCATTAAAAAAAAAATTACTATTTTTATAATAATGTTTTATATATAATATCATATGTTAAATTAGAAATATATTTTTCATTAGAAACTAGGTATTTAGTGTAACTGCTCACAAATAAGAGGCTTACATTGAAATCATACGTAAATAATATTACTATATAATCATTTTTTAGATACAGTTAAGTATATTATTAGATTTAAGTTTTGTCAATTTAATGTTCATAAAAAATTTATTTTATCGGGAAGATTACATAAGAACTATTAAAATTAATTAAAAATTAAAGAACGGTTTCAAAGTACTCAGGTTTTTTTATATTAGTTACTAAAATATGTACCATTAGTAATTCTTATTTTAGAATAAACTTTTAAAGAGAAAAGCTTTACATGCATGTTTTTATTACTTATAACTAAACGAATGAAACAAAACAAGAAGTATTTAAAAAAAATGTAATTCATTAAAAAAAAAAGGAATTTTAATTTTCTATTGAAGAAAATTTTTATTTTTAAATAATTTATTAAAGATTGATCAACATGAAAAGATTAATTATTCAAAAAATTAGTTTCGACAATTATATACAGTTAATGAAAATCCATGACAAAAAGATTTATTGTAAGTCGATATATGTACATAAATATAAATTAAATATGAACACAAAATATAAATTTAATAATTTAATAGAAAATTTATAAATATAAATTTGTATATGCACACATTTCTTTAAGGCATAAATTAAAGAATATTTGAAAACACGATCATTTTAAATTTTTATATAAAAAAGATTATGATTACTTACATTTAATGTAATTAATGCTAAGATAATTAATTTTATTTATTTGAATGCTAACAAACTAAAAATTTGAAACACTAAAATTTACAATTATTTAAAAACAAAGTGGTTATTGCGACTAAGTATGTTTATAATTTAGAAAATATATCTGATATAAATACACGTTTATTTAAATTAACATATGTCGGTAATATTTAATGTCAATGATGATATTAATCTAGAATTCCTATGCTTTCTTAAATTATGTTATAAATTGAAAAGTGAACAAATTTTCAATAAAATTAGCTTTAATCGTATATGAATAAAAATATAGTAAAATATGTTGTTTTATAATACTATAACTATGAAAAGTTAAAGAAAAAATTATATTTTTAAAATGAGTATGTCCTCACAAAGAAGCTTTTTTTACCATATAACATTTATTAATGTTTTTCTTTTAAATTTTTTTCATTTATTATTCTACTGTTTGTAAAATTACACATTCTTAGCTATACAATTCTGATCATACATGTTACTCTATAGTTTGATTCTTGCCATTCTAAATTGCATGGTGCTTGAGCAAAATTTAATTTCTTAAATTTAAGTTATGCATTTTATCAGAATTTTTAACATTTAAAAAAATTTTTAATTTGCTTTTACCAATGTAATGATACAAGCCATTTATAACATTTTTTGTTTATTTTTCTAATACAGTTAATTTGTAGGATTAGATTTAGTATTTTGAATGTTTATGATAGTTTTAAATATAAGCTTATTTTAACTACAAACTGTCTTTGAAACAATAAAACTTACATATAATCTAGAATATAATTGAATTCGTTACTACTTTTCTTTAGGTTTAACGAAAATTTTTTTTATATAAAACTCAATAAAAGTGAATTAATTTCAATTGTTTTATATATTAATACTAATGCTTTTGAAGGTGCAATCTAATTATAATTAATTACAGAATTATTATAATATATTTATTATTTATTTCTTACATTTTATTACATATACTATTTGATTATATTCATAAATACATTATCTACAAAGTTCAAACAGTATTAATCTAAATTAATTATAAATATATTCCTGCTATGTTATAAGGAATAATAATTATGATAACAGTACTAAATATAATTTAAACATAAAATTATTCATATAATTGAAAGAAAGTTATATATATATATATATCAATTAATATTTGTTTTCTGCTTGTCATGATACTTCATAAATATATTCCACCTTTTGTATGCAATGATTTTATTTGATTTTTAAAAATCTCATTATGTATATCGAAGTGAAGATATTATGTGGTGCAATATATAATATATTATATTAATTCAAAATTTTCATACACCAATTAGCTGTGAAAATTCAATTGCAATATTATATATAGATAAATATATCTAATTCTGTAATTAGACAACAAAACACAAGAAACATTCTATTTTCCAAATACATAATAGCTTACGATAAGAATGCAGACAAAAATGAAATATTAAAATACGATTATGAAATAGTATATTATCAAAAAATAAAGAATTATATTAATAAAATAAATTTTAATTTAATTTGAAGCTCCAGCTTCATTTTTATTCACAGTACATTCAAAGATAAATTTGTATTAGTAAGAAATTTATATATCAAATTATGCATTGTATAAGAGATATAACCAAATTATTTTACTATATACAAGAATTTTTGTACATAAAGTATATAAAATGAGAAATCTAAAAAAACATATTTAAATATTTCCAAGAATTGAAATATTTATATTCCATAGTCTCAAATTTATGTTACAAAAATTTTAGTTGTTAATGTGTTTTATAATGATTGTTTAATATTAGAATATAAATTATTATATTTATTTTATATATTATAAAATTTCGGTAAACATATTTAAGACTAATCATTCTAAATATAATATTATAATGAAATGAATACAGTAACTATTTTAAAATGTATTTTAAAAAATCACATAATAACTAGAATGAAGCATGACATTTTAGAAGGAACATTAGATTGTATGTAAAAAAAATATTTAATATATAAAAATTTATAATATTTGTACACTTAATTTTCGTAAATAAAAGATAAAGTAATACATGATAAACTTACATATAAAAAATAATTATTAGTACAATTATTAATAATTTTACTTTTAAATTAATTGAAAAATTTATTTTAATGTTTTATACATGTGAATACCATAAACATATAAAATAAAAAATTCAATTTTATCAATGAATCGAATATCAATTACCTTTATATTGTCCACTTAGTTATCCAAAATAATCAATTAGATATTGGTTTTGCAGTTATTGTTCACTTCAGAGTATGGAGTAAATGCTTTTTATTTTCCACGTATGGTGACAAAAATTCTAAAATTACGAAAAAATTAAATATAATAACGGATAACATGAAGAATGTTAATATCAAACTAATAATGAATTTTGAATTTTTTATAGCCGATCCAATAAAATATTTTATTTATGAAAGTTGGCAATTAAAATAATTAAAAATGGCTCATTCTGGAAAATAGGCTATCAAATATTTTAAAGCAAATTAATAATAATTAGAAATTCCAAATATGCAAATATCGTTTCAATCTATTTTAATTTTTTAAATTACATTAAACGATAATTATTTTTTCTCTTTATTTTTTTCGTAATTTCTATGGTATTCTATTATTCAAGATATAAAAAAAATATATATATATATATATATATTTCTAAAACAAAGTCAGTGATAATATGATACATAAAACTATATATTGTTTAAATTATAATAACTCAATGTATCACCTTTTTCATTAGTACACATTATTGTTTAAAGTATTTATAAGACTCATAAGTATAAAATATGCGTTTTTAAAATTAAATAATAAATTATGCCTTTTACTTTTTCTAAATATGCCCATTTGTACATGTTCATTTTTATCAATTATATTTAAAGAGCTTCTGAATTAATATTCTATTTTGTGTTATTAATTATTTATAAATTATTTTCAAATTGTATATGATTTCTCTATATTTATTCCAATGTTAGAGTTACATATAAGTAATTATTTGTTATTAAATGATTAATTATAAATTAAAATAATTGAAAATTTTTATATAACAAAGAAAAAATATGTAAAAAGTTTCTGTGTTTATTAAATTTTAATCATAAATATGGAATTACTAGATAAAATTGTGACAACTAACTAAAACTGAAATAATTTCTATATTGCATACATATTGAAATATATTGATTCAATTGATTGAAATATAGTAAGTAGTATAAGTAAGTAGTATAAGATCAATAAGTGGTTCTAAAAAAATATTTATATTTAAAATTAGACCATCATGATAATTTAATTGAAGTATCAGTTAATACATATTTCAAATAAATATATTGAAATATAAAAATTAAAAATTTAATTTGTAAACAAGATAACAAATATATGAAATAAAAAATACAAATTAATGCTTTTTTAAAATGAAATTATTTTGAATACAACAGCAAAAATTCATATTGATACTATTATTAAAAAATTTAATAAGTTCAACATAATTGAATTTAAAAATTGGTAAAGTAAACAATTTTATGAATTGTAAGTAAGCATTTCTTTTAATATTTGGGAATGATTCAAGCGTCTAAAACAGATCATGTTTAATATAGACATATAATCATAACAAATAGATTTCTGATAGATGAAGCAATTAACGAAATTTATATAATTATTATAAAAGTTAAAAACATTACATATAACTATTATTATTTAACAAAATAATACTGTGATATGCTTGACTATTTTTTCTTGTATTAAGATTAAATGAATTAAGTATTCAGAATTTTTAAAGTTTTAAAATATTTTAATAATTCAGCGTATAATAAAGATACTAAATAATATTTAGCAGCTAACTTAAAAATACTTCTTGCTTTTTTGAAATTAATTTGTTTAATAAAACATTTTAATAAAACTTTTGTTTTATTACTTTTGTACTCGATTTTGTAATTGATTATATTAAAAAAAAACTACATTCAATTATTCTTCATGCATTGGAAATATTTCATAATTTGTTTGTATTAATACATAAAAATATTTAAATAAAAAGTAACTACCAAGAAATGAAAGAAAACTATTTAATACTTACAATATCAATCATAATTTTAAGTAATGTAGAAGTTATTAAATATTACGTTCGATTTTGCAAATATGTCAGTATGAAATATATGTACCTACAGTGATTAATAAAAAAAATAGCATAATGTATTTCGTCGATTTATCGAACAGATGAGGACGTATATCCGTTAATTGTTGAAGTATATTTAAATTATATAAAATTGCAAAATTTGATAAATCAATTAATCGATCGGTATATACTATGGCATAATCGATTTTAATATATACTTTTATATAAAAAAACGAAAAACCTTTTGTAATATAATAAGTTCGACACATTGAACAATAAAATCAATACCTTTAATTCGTAAGCTTGAATACGTTAATATATATTCATTGCTTAGTGTTACGGTTTGATAATTAACCTCAAACAATAAAGTTTTTTTATAATTTTAATTTATTGCATGTAGGTTACATAAGCAATATTTTAATATACGGTTTATTTATATGTGGCGCTACAATTATTAAAATAAAATGTTAAATAAGTCCATCATGGAAAATACTATAAACAAAATCAACACCGAAAAAAAGATTTTATAATAAATAAATTACTATTATTGTAACAATAATTTTATTATATTCACCTAGTTAAAGACACTAATGACAAGTAATATGATATGTTAATATATATTTGTAATATATGTATAATATGACAATATGAAAAGAAACTAACGAAAATAGGTATTTAAAAATGTTAAAAAAAAATAGTATATTTCATTGCTCTATGTATAAATTTACTTTTGAATTTTTAAACTATAAAAATTTTATTTTTGTGTTTAAGAATATATAATTAAATTTTATATAATTTTGTATTACAGTTATATAATTAGTATATTCAGTTACAAGTAAACATTAAAAAAATAGCATTCTGATAGTGTATATAAACTTTGATAGTTTTCATATTGAACTTGATTAAAATAATACATTTAGTAGTGAAGTTTTCTTAAACTATAAACTCATAATTTTAATTATATATTATTAGAAGTTTTAAAATTTTTATTTTTAATTTAATATACCAAAATTATATAACTGCCCTAAAATATTTACTTTATCTTTTTGAGTGATTTATTAAAATATATTTCTTTTATAAGACTAGTGAAAACTTTGTTTTTATTACATTTTGCTCATTAGTTTATTTTATTAATTTAAATAACTGAATCTAGAAATTATACTAATATATAATTTAATAATTTATAACTTTCTTTATACCACTTAAAATAAAACAACACTTGCCACATAATGTCTTATTTTTGTATTTAAGAAATATATTAAGAATATTTTAATTTCTTTAATATTTTTGTGTTAAACAATAAAATTATTCATAATTTGTTTTCGATATATATTATAATCTATATTTTCATTAAGTAATGTGTTCTGAAATCAGCTAAGTTAGTAATAACATGATAAGTAGCTATATGTAAACAACGATGGATCTGTAAATAGGAAATTTTTTTATAGCTATTCATTTTATATAAACTTAATATATGTATATTGATTTAACTGTAATAAAGAATAAACAAATTTATTCAATTAGGTGGATTTATGAATCCACATACACAGGTATTAATTAAGTTAAGTTAAAAAAAAAGTATATTATTTACTTTTGTACTTTACTATATATTTCAAGTTTCTCGTACATATCATACTTATAACAACATATTCAGCCTCTTTTCTATTCAAACTTTTTTTTTTTACATATAATAGTTTTTTTACACTATTATAATCTGCTGTTTTCTCTATCATTCAATTTACAATTTTTGTTTTTTTTTCTTTAATATATTTTCTATTGCATTTAACACTCATTCTGCAATTGTACATTTATTTCATTCGTGTACTTTAAAAATCTATGCATCTATGTAATATAATCTTAAAATTATGAATTTTATTTGATTACTTTTTATACAATCTGTTCTAATAAAGCAAAGGCTTCTTAATAAAGTTATTTTTTATGTTTCAATTTATCTCAGTTTAGTAACAAAATATTTATTTATATTTTTAAATTATAATAATTTATAATAAATTAAAACAATTTATTTGGTTTGCTTATTACAGTTTATATATAATTCGATCTATTATATTTCTATTATTCGACTTTTTATTTCTTTGATTTTATTTCTTTGATTCTATCTTTGACTTCCTTAAATATCTTTAATTTTCCTAGTAATTTTCTAGTTTATTTTCAAATGATTAATAAAAATATTTCTAATTATAATGTTCACTCGTTTTTTAGTTTAGCAATATTTAATTTAAATTACTCAGATAATCGATTTCTTATTTTTATACAATTCTTTTCTTAAATATAGATTTTAGTCAATATAATAATTTCCAGTATTAAATTTGTTTGAATATTACAGTATATCTATATTTGTATTTAATATTATTATACTTTGTCTGTGTGTTATTTATCAAATTTAACCTTTACTTTTTTTTTTGTATGCATTTACTTTTCAAATAAAATTTTCTAATATTTATAGTTTTATATTCACTCATTCCACTTATATTTTCACTTGCATATAATTTTTAAACCATTTATTTATATTCTTCTTAATTCTATTTTTTTTTTTTTTATATACCCATTTTCCTAATACTATATTTTTGCCAACACATCTGTATTTCCTTCTTTCTATTCTCCTTCATTTACTCGATTCTATACTGTATATTCCGTACTTTGTTTTCGGTATTTAACCTTCTTCTATATTTTAAGCTATTTAATCTTTTTCTTTTTTTTTATTGAACTTATTCTCATTTTTATTAGTGTATCTGTTCATTGCTTTATTACTTTTTTTTCTCTTTATTAATTTACTTTTTACGACTTTTCTACCTTTTTTTTAATCCTTGATAATCCAAATAATTTCTATTTTACTTTATACTTTAGCATTCTAGTATATTTTCTTATATATTTTTTTACTCTCTATACTTTTTTAACTTTCAAAACTACCTCATTTTCTCATTTTTTATCATTTCTCAGTCAATTAATCATTTTATTTCAATGTTTTCTATTGTCATTAGTACTGTTTATTAATTATTACTGATTTTATTATAAAACTTTTTTCTATTTTTCACGAATTTCTGTATCTTTCAATTGAAACTTAATAAAATGAATATATTTATAAAATAAAATACTTTTAATGTTCATTCAAATAATTCATAATCATAACTTCATCATAACATTTTTTTGTAAAAACAATGGATATAAAAACAATATTTTGCAAACTGATTCAACGTAAGCAAATCTGTGCAAAAGGACAATAATGTTTTAAAAAAGTGATAAATTAATATTTACAAGTGAATTAACGTTTGTTTTTTTATTGTTATTGCTATAAATAAATGGAACCATGGAATTCAATTATATAGTATTAAAAAAATTAGTATTAATTATTACAATCCGAAGAACAGACAACTGAGTAGAAAATTATTTATGATCATGATTAATTTCAATTAAAAAATATATATATGATTTTAAAAATAAATTACTATAAATATATTAATATTTATATATTTCTGTAAAACTAGTATTACTGAATTTGTATTAAAAACAAAATATCTGAAATATAATTTTATTAAATTATATATGATTGATTTATTAAATATAGTAAATGATTTTTATAAATTTTAAAAGGTAATTAATATTCAAGTTATCAATGAATTTATAATGAAAGTAACTATATTATTTATATAAAAGTGTAATATAATTCTCAAAATCTTGGTATAAACATAGGTACATTTTTTTTAGATTAAAAATTTTATTGTTAGTACAAAAATAATTAATTTATATTATGAAGAATATTTAATCTAATTAAATATCTAATTAAATATTAGTATCATTGTGTTTTAGAAATAATAGAGAATTTTGTATTATTTTTGTAATTAATTAGAAATAAAATATAATTTGATTTAAAGTTTTTTATTTTATAAATTGACTTTAAAAAAAATATATTGTAAATACGATCTCTTTAATTCTTCATTAGTTTTAATAATAATTTTCATTTTTATTCCGATTTTTATTAAAATAAAAAGAATGTTTTTCTTACCATTAAAACTCCATCCCATGTTTGAATACCTTCGCTACTTTTAACTGGAATAGTACCTTCACCTGATTCAATTTTCGTTCTTAATTGACCTCGAGCTCTTCTATTTGGATGTTTATCAATAGAATCACTATCTTCATGCGGAGAAAAAATTCTCGCATCTCCACAAGGTGCTGTATTTATATAAAGATGAAATTGAATACCTTGTTTAAGTTTGTAACCTTTTCTTGCAACTTCTAGAATAGAACTTTGTTCTTGATTCACTATGTATAATTCTAATTGTTTGTATAGATATTCACATAAACATCGCCTTGCAATTACTTCAGCATGGCAATCATTAAGAGCTCTACCGCTCACACTTAAATGTTCTCCAGATACACATTTTGTTCCTAAAAATAATAGATTAAAATTAGATTTCTATGTAAAACTTATTATTTAAGAATAAATAGAATCGAATAATCATTAGAATGCTTAATTTCAAGCAAATAAAAACCAATTCCGAACAAGAATTATAGTTTATCAGTTACGTATGTACAATGTCATTGTACATCACATCAATAATACAATAAGTGTTCAACAATGATACGAATATCCAATATAATTTTTATTACACATCTCGATCATTATATATGTCAATTACAGTTCATAAATTCACCACATAATTGGCAAACGTACAACATTTGCGTATTGACAATCATAATTTTATAAAAATCAAAAAAGTACATAGTAGAATTGTATATCATTGGAAAAATAGAAATATATTTTATTTGTATTCATCATCACCATCTCTTTCTTTACACTTTTACTTTTCATACGTAACTTTTGTTTATACATCATACCAATTGATATTATTCTAGCAGTAGTTCTCCATTTTTGATAAGATTTTATGGCTATTTTTCTATTTGTAAATTAATATCAACTTTTATTAGGGTATAATTTTATTATAGTAGTATATAGCAGAATATAATAACAAGTTATTAAATTAACTTTTTTAATTCCAGTTTTTGCTCATTATTTTCTGTTACTTTATTAACAAGTCAAATTCTATTAGCAAACATTTTTCGCAGTTGCTCCTCATTGAAAGTTTTTTGTCGTATGATAATTAAAAATCACAAATATAAATTTTTTCATTACAAATATTAAAGTATTAATTTATAGATAATTACATATTTAATTATACGAAAATTGGTAAAGATATAAATAAATTATTTTTATACGTACTATATGTATCATAAGAATGAAGTATATTAAAAATAAATAAGATATAATTGTATATATACGTATAAAATAAATTTATTTTATACTTTTTGGTTTAATATTGTTTTGTATTGATATGAATTATAAAATTTGAAAGATGAATATTTTAGTATACCTTTTTCTATTCATATTAATTATTTACAATAAAATATATAAGTTTAAGAATTAGTAAATTAATAGATGAATACAATCATTGTTTATAACACTAATATTTCTAACTTTCAACAAATTTATTTATTTAACTGTATTTATGTAATCATAATTCATGTAATTACATCAAATTTATACTTCAAAATTTTGTTATGTATATCATACGATATAAGTGAAAATCCAAAATGAATGTTCTAATTGTTAAAATGAAATATTTTCTGTTACGTTCATCTGCATTAAACTGTAAAAATTACATTTAGGAGTCATTTCCTTATTTATTATATGTATTATATGTATTATATGACTTATATATAAGTCACCATGATTATGAGACTTCCAAATTATGTTGATTGATTGCATTCAGGAAAATTTTCTGAAAATTCTTTATTTTAATCAGATTGATTACGAAGAATAAAATATTTGTTCATAATCATATGTTCAATTTTATGACACTATTATAAATAATTATATTAATTATATTAATTATTTATAATTATAATGTTAATGATTAATAATGTTACCAAATTCATTAAATTGTAAAGTAAATTTCTTATTAAATTTTATAATAAAATTTATTATGTGATTTAAAATATTTTATAAATAAATATTTATCATTACAGTAATTTAAATATAAAAATTCACACTAATTTATTAAGTTATATTTTATATTTATTTAACGATATTATATAAAATTATTATATTTAAAAAACATTGCTCACCAGTAGCAATACAAATTAATTCTGTTTCTGTTCCATTAGTTTGAACTATACCAGCTAAAACTTTGCGTCTTGCATGCTGAGGTTTATTTTGCATTAATTCTAAAAATTTTTGGTTTACTAATTTTCCAATTTTATCAGCCAATGTTTGCGATAAACTCATTTGTTCTTGCCAATTACCAGAATTAGTGATATTTGGTATTACTTTAACTGGAACTGGCATATAAAAAGAAGAACTATGAACATTTCGCAATTTTGCAAGTGCCGCTTTACTTGCAGCTGCTTTTGCTAATTTTTTACTCGGTCCAGTTCCTTCAAAAATTTCTCCATCTATTGTAACAGCAACAGTAAATTTAGCATAACTTTCACCTGCATCCGATACACATTTGTATACAACTCCTGGATATAATTCATTAATTAGAGCCACCGGCCCTTTATCTAAAAATTTATTTGTACTCTTTGGTTCTTGAGGTAATGTTTTAAATGTATTTATAAGATCTCCTTCTGTTATATCATTAGTAAAGTCATGTTCTACAGAAATACTAGATGGAAATGAATTCATTACATGGTGCACCTCAGGTGTATTTCTAAATTGAACAATATTTCTTAATGCCACCTCCGCTGCAGCATGCTTTGCCATTTTCTTTGTACGACCTTTACCTTCGTAGATTTGTCCATCAATTTGCACAGCAATAGTAAATATTGGAGCATGAGTAGGACCAGTTTGTGAAATAACTTTATATATAGCTCCTGTTTTTAATTCATTCAAAGTACATACTGCATTTTTTGGTTGAGGATTTTTATGCTTTTTTTTTACATTAGATAAACCTATGAAAAGAAGAAATACAATTTAAAACAGTATAATCAATTGATTTCAATAATATTAAAATATTTTAAATTTGCGCTAATTATAAACTGATTAATGAACGCATAATGAAAGTTTTGTAAATATATTCCAAAGAACTTAATTATTTAAATCATATTAATATTTTTATTGTAATCATACCATAACTAAGAGGCTTATTTTATTTAAATAAATAATACGGCAAACAGTTCTATTATTTTTTAAAAACTGTCTTAATTTTTTTATACTTCTGTACAATATTTATTAATACATTTTATCTCTATTTAGTAATTAGTATTTCTCTAATGTGATAGTTAAAAAAATTTTTTTATATAAATTAAAAATATAAAATATTATAAAATCAATAACTTAAAATTCATTTTTAACATCAACCACTGTTATAAACCATGATATAAACAATTAAGCATATAATTTAACGTAAATTCACATCAGAAGAATACATTTTTAGAATAATTTCGAATATATGTATAAAAGTAATAGAACAAAAAGAACTTATTAATTGTTTGAAAACCATATATAGAATTAATAAAATAAATTAAAAGGTTTGACAAAAAAAAAATACAGAAAGTAAAACACAGAATGAAATTACAGATTATAATAAAAAATAATAAAGATAAATATGTAAAACATTCAAAGAGAAAATACAACTACTGAAAATAAATAGATAAAGAAAAATTGAATGATAGTAGATACATTGAATATAACAGAAGTATTAAACAAAATTTAAAATTCATTTACATAAAAATAAAATCGTTGAAATTTAGATGAACATTTTTCGTTACTATAAAAATATATATAAAAGCTAAAGTTGAAAAATATTTTAGTTAAATTTACATGAGATAGAAGTACAGACATGGAAAGAAAATAAAAATTTAATGAATAGAAATGTGATACGGAACGAAAAAGAATTCTTAGGTTTCTAAGATTTATTATTATTGTGTATATGATGCATTACTAGTATGATTATTGTGATGATAATTTAGCTATACATAAAGTAAATAATACTTGAAAAATACAACAAAAAATATACTTATTTTTCCAGATTGTAAATTCAGTCATATTCATTTATCTAATCTGTAGATATACTAACAAAGTTTTCTAGATTAAAATTATGTGTATTAAAAAAAAAAATAAAAATAACAACTAATGGCTAACGATATCTTTTCTTTATCAATCCGATCAGTTGACAAATGCAATAACCTAAATTTAGCTATAAATCTATAAATGATAAAATTATTGTAGTTGCTTTTTCAAATTTATAAAAGCACTGATAACATCTAATTCGATATTAATGATACGCAAATTTATTAATATAACAAGTTAATTATGATCAATTAAACACATTCCAATAAATGACAACATTGTATTAAAAAAATATTTTAAAAATCAAATAATTTATTATATGAATAAAATTATTCAAAATCATGAATTATACAATAACTCAGCAACGCCATTGTATTTATCGTCCTCTAAGCATATAAATTTAATAGAATTCATTTTGTCTATGATATAGTATACTTATAATATTATATTATATAATAGATTTGAATATAATATTATATAATAGAGGCACAGAAATTATGTAAATAATATAATAAAATAGTAGATGATAAGCAAATGATTATTAATGGAATTTTTAAAAATAATTTATATGGATGTATTGAATAGACTGATCAATATTGACAATCAAGAGTACAAGACTTAAATTAAACTCCATACAAATATTGACAATATCATAACAGAAAATTTTTGTACAATTTGTGAAAAAAATAAGTATAAATGAAGGAGATAACACAAATGTGGTAATACAATCCTGAGATAAAATAGTAAAACTCTTGATTACTTGCTTATTAAAATCAATGAGTAACGAAATTTTATTAAAATAACGAAGAAAATATACTTATGCTGTAATTTTCCCTTATTTCCTTGAATTTAAATAAAAATATGGGAAAATATTCAAGCTGCATATAAATATGAAAAATGTTTTATAATTTATATAAAATTGCAATTATAAAATAACTTAAAAAATAATTATTTAGATCTTCTATTATTTATATGTATTATATATAATAATAATAATAATACTTTAGTATTATCATAATGTAAATTAAAAACTCTTAGAAAAATCACAAAATGAAACTAAAACGAAATATGCAAAAGCTTTGGAAATAGCGTAAAAATGAATTTTTTTATATAATTATGTGTTATATTAAAAATTCATAAAATACATTGAGTTTCATATTACATATGAGTATTTTTTTAATTTTAACCAAACCCTCACTTTCTGTATCAAGAGATCTCTTCAAATATGTTCGTACAGCATACTGTTCATTCATCTGCAAATGAATAATATTAATTGGTTATTTACAAACTATGATAAATTTTTAAATATATTAAGTTAATCTATATTAAAAATATTTAATAAAAATGAAACTGTATTTATCAGTAAATAAATATTAAACACAGCACAACTTTCTAGCCGAACCTTTCATTTACTGATGAAAACACTTTTATACAAAATACATTATTCTTACATTTATAGGTTGTTAAAATGTATTATCATAATAATAAAACTACTTCTTTTGTTAATACAAAATAGTGAGTTTATCACAATAAAGAAATATTAACGTGTAATACATATTTCAAAAAGCTCATCAAAGACTTTTCTATTATAGCAAACTTCAGCAGAGCTAACTTTTGAACATATTTATATCTTTTAAATGTCTTTAATAATAGTCATTGATTGTAATTATTAAATTCTACTTTTATATATAACACTGTATAAAAAAAAATATAGATGTTTTTAGATTAATTTTTCATTGCTGTTATACTACAGATTTTATAAGCTATGTAATATGAATTCTAGAATGACAATGAAAATGATCAACTGTTAAAATTATACTTTTGCTTATAGTGCAACATAGAGCATTTCCTTAAAGTTAAATAATACTTTGTGTAATGTAATTAGCAAAATATAACATCTATCCTTATAAAATATGTTCTCATACCGAGATAATTCTATTAAATTTACACGATAAATTTATTCTAATATAATTTAACTCTTATATTGATGACATCTGCATGATGAAAGGATAAAAGCAAAGTAATTGAAAAAGAAAAACAGGTCTTTTAAAGTTCTTGTTTCTTCTGTAATGGTATTATTCAATTTTTGCAATATATAAGTTTTTTTGTCTATTTCTAAAAAATCAATTTTAACTTTTTAATATAAAATTATTTTTAATATTTAAATACATCATCTGTATTATGTTCAAAATAAAAGAATTTTATATGAAATCTTTTTTATATCCATTGTCTAAATAATAATGTATAATACAAATGATAGATATAATAGAAATAATACTACAGTGTTATTAATACTGTATTGTACTTTTTTATTGTAATTAGTAATTGTAATACAATGAGAATAATAAAACAATATTAAATCAATTTATAAACTAATATAATACCTGAATGTTTTATGTATTAACAATTTTTTTAACTATAAATGTCTTGCATTCTCTTAATTAATATATTATTATACTTTTATTTGAAAATTTCAAGAAATTAACTAAAGTAGGCCATCGATAAAACTGTTATAATTATATAATTGTATTTACATGATTAAAGAAAACTAATATACCAAAATAATTATAATTATAACAGAATCAAAGGATTAAATCAGATATCTAACATTAGAAAATAAATTAGATTCTTTTTCAATAGAAACATTAAAAGATTCTTTTGATTCTGCAAAGATTACACTACCAAATATTATTATACACCCCAAAATAATATAAAAATTAGGATATCTTAAACGAAATATGATTCTAAATATAAATTTGCAAAGAAAGTTACATGAAAAGGAACAATAAAAATCAATCAAGATTTAAATACTTTTATTAAAGTATTTAAGTTCAGTTTTCAGTTCGCTTTTCAGTATACATAAATTTTAGTTTTTAAAATCTTGAAACTTTATTATATATATAACACAAATCCAAAAACTATAATTGAAATTTGTAACATATTTCTGTACTCATTTAATATATTTTTAACAGAACTAAGAAACTAATATATTAATTACTTTAATAAAAATTATTTATTTGCTTAAATAATAACATTGTATATGTATTTAATTTTATTATTTTTAAAATATTGATAAAATAAATTTACTATGGAATAAACTATTTTTTACTATAGATACTATAATTAAAAACAATTTTATTATAAAATTACTTAAATATAAAGTTTTTATTAATTTAAAAATATTGTTATTGCAAATTAATTTTTTTATATTCCTGTCACTGTAATTACTTTGACAGAAATTAAAAAAAAAATTTTTAGCGAAATTTATATAAGTATAATTTAAAACAAAACTATTGGTTATTTATTTGAAAACTTTATTAATATTAATCATTACTATAGACAATTTTAATACAGTTCAATTGATACTGAAATTCAATCGTAATCATATGATTAAATATAAAGGTTATAAATTGTGGTTTAGATGGATCAATTTAATTTTATTTTTTGTAACTTTAAAATTTTTCTTTACAATTTGTTAAAAATGTATTTATTTTTATTTGAATTTTTTAAAAATTTTACGATGTAACTATTATAAATTGGAAATTTATTACAAAATAAAACAAAAAACATCCAATTTCTTATATTAAAAATAATTTGTAATATTGAATGATGATCTATAAAAAATGACATTTCAATATAAAAATTGGTTTTAATAAACTGCGACTTACCTTCGTATTGTTATTAATTTGTTGCTTTTGTAAGAGTACACAAAAGTGAAAATCACTAAATGCAAAATTATTAAATATAAAAAATGTATAAAAGTTTTCTACCTAATATATTCATTTAAATTCAGTAATTTGCTATTTAATATGCCCTCCTTTTTCAAAAGTATTTTATTTTAAAAAAAAATTTTAATTTAAACAAACAAATATACAGGTATATAAACACAAATCATTAGTGATATAAACAGGTTTAGTACCTGTACTTCGATTTTTTTTACATATCATCCATAGACATACTACATAGCGCATTGCGGACATTCCCCACTACCACTGTCAATCTAGTAAACTTTTTGATTTTGCAAAGTTACATATTTCACTCCAATCTTATAAACTAACTGTAAAAAATGCGATACGTAATTTATTTATTTTTTATACGAATTAAATAAATACAAGTAACACTCTATTTTCACAAGCATTACATTAATTTATATTTCCTGATTAATGTTCAAAAGGTAGTTTTAAATTTAAATATGATTTTACATATAAATTTTTCCTTTTTATATTGAGCTTCCCATTCGCATGTTGATTTAAAAGATCAAAAATATATTAAGATTTATAATAATGGAAGATTTTATATCACTTATTTTAATCAATATATTTTTTTAAATATAATTTGTACAAAATAAAAGCAAATATTTTTAAAATTCTAGGAATTACTCTTTTAGTATAAAATTAAATTTTCAGATTTAAATATAGAGTAAACATACGATAAAAAAAATTATTCATGTAGAAAATGATTAATTTAGTTTATAAAATGAATTTAAAATATTATTAAAATTTTTATTCAATTTATTTTTTTTTATAGAAAGTCAAATATATATACATATTTGAATAAATTAAATGTTTTATGTAATACACTTAAACGCAAAAACTGCCACTAAAATCAACTTGGATAATAAACTATTATTCGTCGATTAGGAATATATATTAATTAGTTATACATATATTAGATGGTAAAAGCCCTTGTATTATCTTAATTATAGATAAAAATATATGATTAAATTACTATATAATAAATAAAAATATTATATACAAATGAATTATAAAAGTAATGAATTTTTTCTTTATATATCTGTTCAAGCAACAGATATATAAGAAGACAAAATTGAACAATCAGTTTAATTTAATTATAGCCAGGATTTAATCCGATAGAAAACTAAATGCGTATAAACAAATCAGAAAACACGTGTTTGATCTAAATAATCATGTTTAAAAATAATCGAAACGATTTTATAAGTAAAGATAGTCTTATTGATCAATAAACTACATCGTCTATTTGTGTCTTCCTTCTATATTCCTTTTATATTTGATCTTGTGTTATATTTTTAATATTTCCTTTTATTATAGATTTCATATGTAGTCAATAAGTATATTTTAAACGAGAAACATCTGTATCAATACAAATAGTTTATATTGTTTAGAAGGTAATGATTTTATATATTATAAGTATACTATTTACTATTTTATTTTTTACTATTTTTAGATGTTTTATTATACATTTTGTTTTTATTAGTTTTTAATGTTATATAATTAAAACATTTTTAAGGAATTTTTTTTCTTTTATTCTTTAATATTTGTTCTTTTACTTTGCATTAGAAATCTAATAGATATAGTTTAGTTGTATATCCTATTTTAATTTTGAAATTGCAAATTTTGTTTTACACATCAAGTAGGTACTGTATACAGTCGTATTCTTTTGTAAATGAATATATATTTTTGTATGTTTTTAATAATAATTTCATGGTTATTATATATTATTTTTTTAGATGTTCTATTTTCAAGTAATAGTTACTCATTTACTAACCATTAGGACATTTTAATTTGTTGCTTTATTTTCTTGTATTTGATTCGTTATTAAATGATAGCTGTGTAAATACAGATATTCCTGATGAGTACTTACACAATAACTGTAATAAATTTCAGAAAAATGTTACTTAAATGATATTTATACAACTGCCATACAAATAATAATAACTATAAATTCGCTTCCGAATTCTAAATTAAATAATTTGAAGGAGTTTTATAAATTTAATATTTTCAACTCTAGAAAATATCTTGGAGAAAGGGAACTAAACTAAGCTTCTCTATTCATCTGTTTATTTTATCCTTTAATATTTTAGATATTCATATCACTTCAAGAATGATATATTTTACTTCTGCCTGAATGATGTGTTCTTTTTTTAAATTTGTATTATATTTAAGTCTACTTTGTATTTTTATCTTATTTATTCTTTGCAATAAGATGAATTTTTTAAATCTCTTATAAGAATAGTACATTAATTCTGGATTATACTATATTCTAAACTCATATAGCATGTATTTACAAGTGTTTTTATAAATAAAGGGAAAATAAAGGAAATCGAATAATCAAATCTAATTAAAATTAAAATAGAAAATAAGCAAATTTCGATATTATAGAAATAAGATTGTTATAATATAATATCTATTAACTTTATTTAAGTAAAGGAGGAACTATATTATATATTTAATTTCAGTGACAATGAATAAATTTCGAAAAAGAGTAGTGATTTAAAAAATAATTAATTTTATTTCTTATACTTTTATATAAACAGTTATCCATTTTCAACTGTTTTATTTGATGTCCATTAATGAAATGCATAATTTTTATTATTATTTATCTTCCAATCATAAATAAACAAATGTCTTTCTTTCAATATTACATAACACGATTACAATGTGAATCCTTGGAAAATTTTAAAACATACATGTTGAGTATTTCATAGTTTTCATATTTGTTTATTCCTCGTTCTCCTACGATATTATTTTACCATTAGTAAATACTAAACGGTTTATTAATTTCAAGTTTATGTGGCTAAAGTATTAACCTATTAACTCTGAATATAATGATTATAAAATATATAAATACAGTGATGATAATAATAATAATAATAATATTTAAAAATAAATTTAATGATGCCATTATATTTCTCCAGAAAATTATTTTTCTTTTTATTAGAATTTATTAGAATTACAATATTGTATATTAATATTGTAATAATACGAATAAAAAACTATTATTCTTAATATTTAAATAAACAATCTAAAACTAAATTTATAATATTAACAATGTACCCAAATAATATGATTTAATTCTATTTTATTTATAAAACATAAAATAAATATATTTTTAGAATATCAATTCAAATATAAAACTTAAAAGAATGGTTTTAAGAGTGTTATTACAAAATGAAAAAATATTTTATTTATTAATGAATTGAAAAACAATTAAATCATTTTTTTCACATAGTGTTTGTTGTTATTAAACTTGTTCAAATTGTTCATAAAATTTTATATTTAAATTATGCTCATTTGTATAAAATAATAAGATTAGATCTTCATTATGATTTTTTCACGCGCGCTGTCAATTGTCCATATACTATATACTTTTATTCTATTATTCACATTAATGTTGACTATTAGTCTACATTGAGTTTACTACATGCGAAATTTGAATTATTAGGTTATTAGACCTATTTTCGTTACATTATTAATTTATAATATAAATAAAAATAATAAAAATATGCCAAATGAAAGGAAAATGGTAAAATCTACATCAAGGAATGCTAAATCAAATGAAGACATTTATGCTGGATTTCAATCATTAAGAAATGAACAACGCATAATGGCCAACAAATTATCAGAAATGGAAACAGAGTTAAATGAACACAAGTAAATGAATTATAATTTTTAATCATTCAAATTAAATTGTAAACCACAATTACTTGTAATTATAATTATAAATATTAATTTTCCAAAAATATATAAATATTTGTATATATTTTATAAATTCTACTCACTTTCATTGCAGAATTGTTATCGATACATTGAAAAATGTCGATTCCAAACGTAAATGTTATAGAATGATTGGTGGAATATTATGTGAGCGTACTGTTGAAGAGGTTATGCCTTCTTTACTTATAAATAAAGACCAGGTATATATTTACTTATAATTAATAAATAAATTATATTTAATTGCTGATCATTGAGTATTGAAAGAAATTCTGTCATTAAATTTATTATTATAATTTTTTTTATGTTCAATTGATTTTTAAATGTTATAGGATTAGCAGTAATTGATTTATTTATCATTAATTTATATTACAAAAGTATATAAAATTTAGAAAAAATTTGTAATAAATTTATTCTTTATTTATGAAATTATTTTGTACTTATTCAAAATTTTTACTTTTAAAAAATATTTAATATACCAATTTTATTATGTATAAACTAAATCAATTTAATAGGTTAATAGATACTATAATTTAATTAACAATAATAGCAATTGTAAAATATGAAATAAAAATCTTTTTAATAATTAACAAAACGTATTTTGCATGAGTGTATAAATCTGTATAATATTTACAAAGAATTTATTAACAAAATATATAAATTTATCTATCTAGCTTACAAAAGTAATTGGTACATTAAATGAGCAGCTGACATCTAAAGGTATAGAAATAAATGAGTATAAAGAAAAACATAATATACATATTAGAGGACAAGATGATTTACAGAGACAAGAAGAAGAAACAAAAGAAAATAAAAGAAATAATATAGTTATTAATTCTATTTAAATTTAAGTATTTATATATCTTTTATCTTTATATTTTATAAATAAGATATATTTACTTATACATTTAAGCCAATATAAGTATCATATTTCAATAATTTAAAACTATTATATATAATACATTTTATGTTAAATTCTTTAAATAATTTTTATAATTACTATTATTAATAATTAGCAAATAGTTATTAATTTAGTGTATTATAACTTCTAATTATTTGTAAATGTATGATATTATTGTTACATTATCTAACTAAAATATTTAAATAAGATTAAATTGCAGATCATGCCTATTTTCAAAAATTTTGATATGTATTGTTATATTACTTATTAGCATCGTACTATTATAAGTTAAGATAAACAAATAAAAAAATATATATTTTGAAGAAAATATAGTTACTGAGAAGTGATGAATTGAAAAAAAATTTTTTTTTCAGATATAAAATATTAATTATTAGGTCTGTATTATCACTATCAAATCCAGTATTTTATAAGATATTTAATAATGCAGTAGCTTGTTAATTTTTTAAACAAATGTTATTTTAAATATTTTCATTAAACTATTGGTTTTTAAATATTTTACTTAGTAAAAATTAAAAATTATGTAATTTAAAAAAATCGTATCATTTTTACAAAGGGTGCAATTAAAAAAATCAAGCAATTTCCAAAATTTGTTAATTGGATAGTTTCATAAAGTAGTTAATTAAAAGAAATACTTCATGGATAGTTTTTAAAAATATAATTGTTAAAGGAAATATAAATAATTATTCAATATTTAAGAAATTGTTTGGATTGAATCACATAAGTCAGTATAAAATAATTTAAAAAATAAAATTATTTTTAAATTACTCAAATGTTGGTATTAAATTTTTTATATAATCAAAAATATATTAAATTTTACACTTATAATATATGATTGTTTATTAAAGTTGTAATTAAAATAAATTATTTTTTTAATCTCTAGGTTTGAGAATACACGTTATGAAATTTTTCTGGATTTGACAATGTGTTGATTGTATGATTATTTTACTTTGTAAAATATTGGGTAAAAGGATATAGATTAGAAACATTATTATTATATAATAATCAAATATATAAAATTTTTAATTAAAAATTTTCTTGAGCATTAAGTGTAGTTATAATCCTACACTGTATTAATTCAGTAAGCAACTTTGCAGAATTTATGAAAATACTGATATTGACTTAACCTTGAAGTTAAAATGAATGTTATAACACTTTGTTGACAACTAATATTGTAACTTATTTTGATTATTTACTTTACAAAGGATAATGAATTACTTTACATAGAAATGACATAAGTAATATATTTTTAATAATATAAAATATATTAATCAATCTATTTATAATGAACTTGATTAATTTTTATTGGAATTATCACAAAAAAAGTAGACGATCAATTTTCACAGAATTTGCAAAATTGACATAAACATAGATATATATTCAAACGTATTATCAAAATTTCTAGTTGCATGTTCAATTATAGCTGTACATATTTCTTGATATAAAATGTATCAAAAATTGTGTATTTTCATAGTAAAAATTATAAGTTACATATAATAAAAACTGAAAACAATCAATAGCTTAAATATTAAATTACTAAATTATAGTATAAGTAGAGTGCATATTAAATGATTGAATAAAAATAATTTTTTACAGGATTTGAATATAAAGCATCACAAACATTAAAAAATTGTATCTCGTTTTAAATGAAAAATAAATTTTTCTTTATGGTTACCAATTTTTAACATCTATTAGGTAATTAAATCTTAATAATTGCATTACAGTAATTATTATTAAATTAAAATTACTTTAAAATGTGATCTATAATAACTATGCATACTACCATTAAAGTAAAATATAGAACATATGTCCATAGTTGAATTAATTCAATTATTAAAAACATAATTATATAAAATAAACTAACATAGAATAATTACACTAACTGAAAACAACAAGCATATATTTCTTTGCTATCAGAACATTAATTTTATTAACGTTTAAGATATACAAATTTTAATTATTTTCATTCCACCTTCCCATAATCCGTAAAGCAACCCTGAACAAATTCAGTTTAAGGAAAATTTTCAACTTGTATGTGTTATTTTGTACAATTATTCGTCGCTGATATGTATAGTACTACATTTTAACTTTATTTACAACTTAATTAATTCGTACTAAAATTAATTTTTAATTAAATTTTGTTATTTTCATATTTCAATTAATTCGTTGAAATTCGTCAAAATAATTATAAAATAATTAGTATTATTAGTAAAATTTATTCAAGAAATTAAATCTAGAAATTTTAACTCATTACAGTAAATTACAATTTTATTAAAACTGCGTATTAACAATTATCACTCCTGTACAATTTATATAAAAAATGTATAACATTACGAGATTCTTCTTCAATAAATAAAGAGAATATTACGTGATGTCTGGGAATTATTTATCTCCTCAAGAAATGTGAATAAGACGAGCAAAATATGCCTATAACAATATGCCACGGAAAAAAAAGAAATAAAAAGATGGAGGATAACAGAAATTAAAAGTAGCTTAAAAATATGGGCAAAAAAAAATAATTATAAAATATATATAGGTCTTCAAACTGTATGAAACTAAAATAGAATTCAATTAATGAATAAAAAATGTATATGATATATAAAAAGTATGCAAAATTTTCGCTATTCAAATAAGCATAGACAATAATATAATGTGAGCGAAATTTCTATTTAAGCTTCAACAAAATTCGAAGAGTATAAAAATATTAAATTAAGTAATGGTACAATTACAAAATATTTTGTAGGTAGTAGGCTATTTAATTTATAAATAATTATGCTGTGTATGTAAAATTTATATTGTACAGATTTTAAATTGCGATCAATAATAAAATTCCATTATAAAAACAAAATTTACAAATTAAAAATTATTTTTAATAGAAAAAAATGAATACTTTTAATATTTTAATTTTATTCTTATCGTAAATACACGCAGGAAGAAAAAAATCTTTTTTTTAAAAATCCATTACCTGATTCCATCAAATCTAGAAAAAGTTTTGTAAACGTTAACCATTTTTGTAATTTAATACAAAACATTTAAAAATATATTTGTATTTTTATTTAACTACATATTTTTAAATATTCTATTAAATTTTTTTGTATATTTATCTTTGTATTTGTTGTACAGTTCTATAAACAATTCAATATTTAAATGGATTATATATATATATATATATATTGTACTTTAATCATAAATCAAAAATTCAATTTTTCTAAACTAGAACCGAAAATATCGGACATATTTTAAATTTTTATATTTTTTATTTCATAATATATGTAAAATGTCATAATATTGAACAAAGAATGGAAATAAATTATACTGAATATAATAAAAGAATTATTTAATCTTTAATTATATTAAACTGTGTTTAAATAATTGTTTAGTAAAGTTTCATAAATAAACTTTCGTAACACACTTTTATCATGTTTCTATATAAATGACCATTTATAAATAAAATCGAAACAATATTTTCATACGATTAGCAAATTTACAATTATTTATATAAAAGTTATATATTAGAAAAATACTTTTATTATAAAAAATTAATATATTAATTATTAAAAATTTTTTTCTTTTTAATTTACATTAAAATTTTCTGTATGTACTGCTATACTTTATATATACAATTTTTAATACCTATAATCATAATCTGTTTTTTTGAACATTTATATGTGTTTGAAAATAGTATACCGGGCGAGGAGGGCCAAGTAACTAAGATTAGATGTGAGCTCCACATGTTGATAGCAGGATTGCAGGCTAGTGGACAAGATAGTATATGTATTCAATAAAGAGCAGTTTTGTTGTTTAGTTTGTTGTATTTATGATTGCACTAGTTGAATTATAATTAGTTTTATTTTTATAATTGATTTTTTGGTTTTCTTGATTTGTATGTTTATTGCCACTGAGCTATCACGTAAGTCGCATACACAGGAAGAAGTTGATGCCTTGCTGGTCCTCTATATGTGACACACGTGTAAATGAAATAATACACACAGAAGAGCGAGGTCGTAAGCCCCCGCGCTTCCTTGTATATGAGCACGTGGCGTCGCTTGCATTGCTTGTATTATGTTTTGCAGATAGCTTTACATATCTGTAGATTGGCGTGTATAGCTTGATATAGTTAAGAATTAATTTGGAATGGAACGTTACCTCGTGAGTCTGCACGTTGTGTATAGCTATGTTTTGTCTTATTCTTTGTGTTGCCTCGTAGGGCTCCTTGTAGTTTGATTGTGTATACTGTGCTGACTAATGTACGTAGTTCTCGATTCCCTTTTTTGTATTACACTGCTGCGAGTGTATGATTTGATTATCTAGTACTTGTGTTGAATAGATTAATCTTGGACCTTGCGTTTTATCGACTTGTTCTTTTTCTGTTAGATAAGATAAGATAAGTGATTGTGCCATGCCGGCGTTGCCTTTTTTAAAGCCTTCTCTGGACCACGCGATGGTCGGTGAGGATTCCCTCTCTTTTGGTGTCGCCAATCAGAGCTGTCTTGTCGATCATGGCGTTGCCAATGAGATTTA